TATAAAAATTTTAAAAATTAGAATACTTGTTAATAAATAAATAATATATTTTGCTTCTTGTTCTAAAAGATGAGTTTTAGAAAACCTAAATATATTAAATGTTTTATTATTAAATATTTTAAGTAAAGACAGTTTTTGTTAAATTGTAATAATTTATTAATATTTAGTGAGCCAATTTTAATAAGAATTAAAGTACAATAGATTCAATTGTAGAATTAGTTTAAAAGTTAAAATAAGATAATTAGTTTGATTTTGTATAATATAAAAAACATTAAGATAAAAGAGTAATAGAGTAAAAAAGAACTTGATATATTAGTATATAATTTAAGAAATATTTTATAAATATTTTATATTAGTAGTAGAGTATGGTTTAATAATAGTTTAAATTTATTTGATAAGTAAATATATGCTTTTTTTATTTTTAAAAAATAAAATTATAAAAAATTTTTTAAGATATAAAGTATACTTGTTAGGTAAAAATAAAAAAATAATATAGTTTAAGATTTTTTTAAAAGAAAAAGTTTGTGATATAGTAAATATTTGTTGTAGCAGATATCTAAACTATAAAAATCTAGAGATATTGGTAATGATTTGGATAAATTTTTTTTTATAGATTTGTTTACTATTTTAAACCTATGAAAAGTTTCATAGTTTGTTTATACATTAGGTTTAATTATTATTAACTTAGTTCTCTGTATAAATAGATTTATTTACCTATCTATTTACATTATTTTCTTTTAAAGATAGCCCACAATTTGTAGAGAACATCATTGTTTTAAAAGTGGTGGCTGAATGAAATAAATTTAAAATTATGTTTTTAAAGTATTAACTAAGTTTAAAAGCTAAAATATCAATTAGATTTAAAAATAAAAAAAAACTAGTAAGTTAAAATTTAAAAATTTAAAAAACCAAATAGATTTAAATTATATCTTTAGAGTATAGTTAGGTTTAAAAGCTAGAAAATTAAAAAATTACAATTTAAAAAATTTAAAAACTAAATAAATATAAAATTATATTTTTAAAGTATTTTCAAATCTAAAAAAAACAAATTTAAAAATTTAAAAACTAAATAAATTTAAAATTATATCTCCTGAAGTAATACTTAAAACTAAGAGCTAAAAACCAAAAAACTAAAATTCAAAAAAACTTAAAAGCTAAATAAATTTAAAACTAATCCCAAAGTATTATCCAGACTTAAATGCTAAAAAATAAAAAACTAAAATTTAAAAATAAAACATTAAGACTGTACCTCCGGAGCATCGCCCGGACCTGAGAGCTAGTTTAATGAAGCTAATGATCAAAGTAACCTGGTTATTTTGATTTAAATTACAACACGTATTACGATAATTCAAAATTACACCATTTATAACTTAAATGATTCTGTATTGATTAAAATTATTATTAGTATTACAACTTACAGTCTCCAATGTTATTATCCATTGATTTGCATCACAAATTAATACTTTGTGGTAAGTAAAGTTACTAATTTGGCGATGGTGTTTTTAGTCCGTAACGAGAATAGCATTCAATTGCGTGATAAAGACAATGGTCATATGGCACAGATGTACACTTATAGATGAGTAATTTGTGAATCGCTCCAATTTTAAAGCTATTTTACATTAAAAATGTGTCGAAGTGTGTCAAGAATATAGTTTATGCACTGAGGATACAAATTCAAATTTTAAATTATGCATGTAAATATTTAGCGTTAGGACAACATAATCAAAATTTTTACATTATAATCGAATATTTAGGAAGACGCAACTACGTACAGGTTACTCTACGATGCACACAAAAAAGCAGGGCAACCGTTAAAAATCACTGATATTTACTAAGGTTATATTTCAAAGGACTTATATAAAGAACTTATAGAAAGAATCAAAATATTATCTGTTATCGTTATGGTTTATATGTCACGTTTAAGAAATATTTACAAATAATAGACCCGTATAATCAAGGGGGATACTATTAACGGAAGGTGTACTATGTGGCGAAATACGGTACGTTTAATTACACTGCCTTAAAGTGCTGATTAATCAATATATCGTTAATTTTTGTGTATAAGCATCACCTATTTGATTCACGTCAATTTTTAACCAGTATAAAGTTGTTGATGCTTAATCGAAACCTGGAATGAAAAAATGATTGCGAGCAATTATAATATATATATATATATATACTTATTAGGTCGATATCCTTTTTGATATTATGCCTATGTTAGTAAATTTTTTGTCTCGCGCAAAAGCTACTATGAAATTAATTGATCCTGAATACAATATGCGAGACGAGAATAAATGAACCCAAAAGCGGCTCTATAATAAAGTATCTAACGAACTATAGTTCATCAGATATTACTACTCAAGTAATCTTCAGAGGCAGGGAAGTGTCACCAAATGAAACTTGGAAATTTTACGACGTCCTGTTACACTAATAGATATTTGCTAAATTCTATACGAACGTACGTACGTAATAAGGAATTTATTTCGATAGGGTAATTAAAAATTAAAAATTTAGGATCTTTGACCTATTATGGTTTAACCATTTTACTCGTGCTGACGGCAATTCAGGGTTCAAATGATAACATCTTTAAAATATTTCACTCACTTGTATTTACTAATATCTACTGTATCAGTATCGGTATTAATTACGCCCAATGTATAATTCCAGATGGTGAGGAAGTGGATATCGATTAATTTGATGACCTAAGATTGTGATCCGCAAAAATGCCCAAATATATCATAGACGATTTATTACGTAACGTTAAATACATGTAACACTAGAAAGAACCTGATGCGTGTTATTCGTATGTATGTATGTGTACAAGTTTACGTACGTACGTACGTACGTACATAATACACGATCCTGAAAGATTGAACCACCGTCTTAGTGCGCATGAAGATATCTTTTGACATAGCATTTCATATCATTTATTTTTTATTCATATATAGTGATGCTTATATTTTCATGGAAAAGAAAGCATTGTATTCCAAGATCAAAAGAATTAATTAAAATTCTTAAATGGGATAAGTTATTTACATATGGCTCTTTGATAGACGGAGATAGTGAACAAAATCGTTTTACAAATCACACAAATAGTGCTCAAAAACAAAGCACAAATTACTCTTTTTGGCAATTTCCGTAACAATGAAGCAATGTATCGGCATAAAACGTAAGATATAAAAATTAATAAAAAATCATACCTCCCTTTTTCTGGCAACGGATATTAGATGATATACGTAATTGAAAAAATTTAAAAATTTTTTCATAGAAGCACTTTTACTAATATATATATATATACGTATTTATTATTATATAGTTTTTTTTTTTTTTAATTTTTTTTTTATGTATTTATAATTAATACACACCATGTCGCCATCTAAATTTATATCGCTAATTAAAGATATTAAGTCTCCAAGCTTGTCAAAACTATATACCCTTTTATTAACTTTAATAATAGCGATACCTCTTTTACATTTGGTCTTCGAATTTGATTTTATCAATTATTTAAATCCTATAATCAAATTTAATTTAATATTACCTCAACATTCAAACGCATCTACCATGAATTATCAAAAACGTCCTCCTGACGGTTATGTCATTGACATAAATCAAGTTAATAAACATTGCGAACCAATAAATTATACCACCGCCTTCCTTTACAAATATCCGGTACAAAGTTGTTTGGATTACCTGGACTCAAAACAATCTGATTACTTGGTAAAACCTTCTTCTCCAAAATATTGTAATGAAAACGATCCAATGATATTTCATGTTTATTGGAAAGGTAAAATGGTCGAAAAACTTGCCTTAATGATTAAATCTTTTCTATATACTCAACCATTAAGGTGCTCTTGTCTATACATTTGGGTTGACGAAAATTACAAGGAAGATCTTCGCTTGCATAAAAAGATTTGGCCATTGATTCGTTTTTCTGGAAAAAATTTATTCTTTAAAATGTGGATCACCGAAGAACAATTAAATTCTGATCCAATTTTTCTTGGCTGGAAATCTAAATTAAATTCGGGTCCAATTTTTAATGGCTGGAAATTAAATTTAAATAAAAATGTCGTGGGATTTAGTGATATAGTCCGTTTCGTATTACTTCATCGCTATGGTGGAATGTATTTGGATGCTGATGTACTCTGTCTTCGAGATTTGAGCCCGATCTATCATTTAAACTTTGACTTTGCTTATCGTTGGAGTTTTTGGATGCATTATAATACCGCTATATTAAGGCTTCAACCTAATAGTACTGTAGGTAGAACTATCATTCAGGAAGCAATGTCGAACAATTTGGATTTTCATCCCATGTCTCTTAAAAATTATATTATAAAGGATATGTCAAAATCAATAACTGTTCAGGATTTGAATAAGCATCTTTATATGATGCCGGTAATTTTATTTGATCCTTTATGGTTGAAAGCTGATTTAACTATTGTAAATCAAATATTAAGACCAAATTTAAACGCTTTTGTCGATGTATTTAAACCTTATGTTTTGAACTATGAATTTCCGGCAAGCTTGGTTAGAAAAATGAACAATGATCCTTTGAAATTGAGACATAAGCATCATTTCTTTAGAGGTGCTTTCACTTACCATTGGCACAACAACTGGCACAGGTCAATTGACCCCGAATCTTGGCTTGGTATATTGGAAAGCGCTTATGACGCGTTCATACAAGGTAGAGGTTCAAATATATATAATGAATATTTATCTTCTTCCAAGAAAAAGTTGTTGTAATACCTATCAACAACATTTGAATATATAAATTAAGATTTGTTAGTAAATGTTCATTAATTTGTAGATATTTAACATATATAAAAAAATATAACTTCATGAATTTTCATGAATTTTGTTATTTATTTAATTTGGACTTGATACTTGTTAATACCGATGTTCCTTTTTGTAAAGTTTTTTTAAAAGGATGATAGAACAAAGACGACTTATTCTTTATTTATTTTATTTATGTTTAAGCTTATTAAAAACAACACTGTCTTTAATTTAACCTGTTGCACTAAGGTTTAATGTGAACTCAATTTGTTATAATTTTCATTTCAATGTACTATAGTATTTTCGTTTTTATCATTAACGTTTCTCTAATGTATGTATTTATTAGGTTTTTACTAGACTTTATCTTATATCATGTAATTGAATTACTATGCTGAGTTTCTGTTATATATATAAATAGATTTTCAAGTAAATGTTAAAAGCTAAAAACTATTAACCTGACTAAATTTATGTAATGTTATAATTATTAGCTAATCAAATAATGTAAACCAAAAAAATGAAGTAACAAACGTATAACTCAAAATTTATTAATAAAAGTTATAGAAATTTTACAAAAATCTAAACTTATACCTAATTTTGCATTATAAACAACTTTGTTTAATGAACCAAACCAGTTTACTTATTATAAAAATCCTATAATAGCTTCTTTTTTTTTTTTACAAATATTAAAGATATTTTATTAATTACAATAACACAAATCAAATAATATACAAATCATTTGATTTTAATTAATAAAAGACGATTGCTATTTGTAAACCATGTGTATATACACACATATATTGATATCTCAAAATTTTGATTATAAAACTCACTTCGGAGTTTTAACAAAAAAGATTCTTTGCAAAATTTTAATATAAACTATAACCTTCTCTAACCATAAAGCTACCCTCACCCTAACTTTAAACTATACTAATTTTTCGTTTACAATTTATATATTAAACATAGGGAACGCCTATTTCCACCATGAACATTTGCTATTTCCACCATGCTGTCAAGCTTTCATATGACTTTCAGTTACATAAACATGACAAGCATATTGTCATGATAAATTATGTCAAATTGTGGAAATTTTAT